TATTCAGGATTGTGATGTAAACTGATGCCAGCACCATCCCTATTTGTTCTCAGCCAGAGGACCTTGGAGTCTCCCTTGACTCCTCTTCTCTCTTACACTGTAATCAGGCAACCCTAGGGGTCCCTCCTGGGAAGTGTGCCCCGGATCCAACCCCACAGCACCACCTTCACAACTTCACCTCGGTCCAAGCCCCATCCTCGCTGACCTGCCCAGCAGAGACTACACGGGTCTCCCTGCTGTCACTCACCCACAGTTTGTTTTCAGCATAGCAACCATAAGATACTGTTACAAGGCAAAGCAGAGCGAGTTGTTCCTCTGCTGAGAATCCTCCAATAAGTCCCTGGGCTCTCGGAGGAAACGCCCCCTTGCTAAGGTCGCTGATATCCTCCTGACAGGCAGGAAGAGTGGGGAGGCTGTGGGGTGAGTGGGCAGCCACCTGGAGAGGAAGGAGAGGGCTCTGGGTTAGGGTCGGCAGGGACAGCCTGGGTTGGAGCACACATTGCTTGCTCTCTAAAATAACTTAGGGATGCTTTGAAGGAAGCTCTTTATTGTCAAATTGTAGGGGTTAATGCCACCATCATTGGGTTCTAACAGGAAGTATGCATTACTCATGGGTTACAGGCATCTAAAGCAGAGATCATTTCTGTTACAGGTAAGTTTTGCAAAATCTTCTTGCCCAAATTTGTCTTCAGAAATGAATGATTTGCATTCGGAGCATCAAGGTGAGTTCTTTTCTGTGGCTTGTTTCTTTGAGAGAGAAAATGATAAAATTACCTTCTCCTTCCAACCAGAAGCACTTCTGACTGCTCTCATAACACACTGTGTGATGGACAGGAAAGTGTGGGCCTCACTTGAGTGCTTTGTCAACTACCCAGTGGTGGAGCCTTTGTTCCAGTGGAGCTTGCAAAGCAGGGGGAGGCTTTCTGTCCCTCACTGCTGTGCTGCAGGGTGGGCCACTCTCTTTCCATTGGAGGAGCAGGTCACCCGATACTGCGCCCGCGGAGGTGAACACAGGAGTCCTTTATCTGGGTTACTTGATCGCAGGCCTATGCAATTTTCATTACCCAGTTGGCCATAAAAGAAAGGAAGAATTTCCAAGGAAGCCTCGGACAACATTTCTCCCAGGAGTGTCAAAGCCTTGGTAGCCAGCGCCCTGGCCCTCTCTCTCATGGGCAGAGACCAAAGTCACCTTTTACCAGTGGAACCTCACACTGACACGTGTAGCTGTCACATCCCAGGATCTATATAATTTGTCCTCTCTTTCTACACTTCAAAAATATTTGGGAAAGGAACTTCTTCACAATCTGCTTCAGGATGCTTTCTGCTCTCATTTCTCTACACAAACATAGGGTTGCTCTGGAGCTAAAACAAAAATCATCTCAGAAAGCAGAGCCTTCCAAGCCCAGGAACCAGCAAAGGGTCAGGTGCCTGCCTCCTGTCGGGAGGATAGGAGACTGCGTGAATGCTGAGTATCTTCCATGAGCTAGGTAATTTGCAGGTATGCTTCCCCTGAGCCTTCTGTCTTGGTATCTCCTTTACAAGATTACATTACTGAGACAGGGTATCAGAGGTCCCACGGCCCCTTCCCTAGTCCGCATGATTCTCACATGGTTCTTGCCTGGGTTCTTGAAGTGGTTTTCTAAGTGATCAGTCCACTTTGAATGCTTTTCATGCTGCAGTTACAATGAAAATTTTGAAAAACCCGTCTGATCAGTTGACATAGCTCTGCACCCACACCCCACTGCTGCAACTGCTCCCTGGCCGCCCCATGCTCCTAGCACAGACATCACCCGACGTCACTGTGGTCCGGCCCCCGCCCTCTGCAGCCTGCCTGCGCCTGCCTTCCCCCACCTCTCTGGTCTCTGAGGCTGCTGTGCTGCACCCTCTCCTCCAGTGCAGACCTTCCCACATACCACAGCTCCTTTCCTGGGCCCACAGCCCCACTTCGCCTGGCCTCAGTGGACCCGGCACACCCCGAAGCTCACAACTGACCTGTCCCTTCCACAGATGAGCCTGCACCACCCCAGCACTGCTCTGCCACTTCCTCGCCTTGCCACAATTCTCAATGAGCACCTGACGCTTTCAGGCGTCCTCGCTGGACTTGCACGGGTGGAGTGCTTCCCACCTACTGCATTTTGAGAATACAGTTACCCCAGCGCCTGGCCGACTCCCTACTTGCTGTGTGAGCGGGACAGAAAGTGGGTAGAAAAGTGAAAACCTGCATGAATGGCACATGGGATCACAATGCCACAGTGTCTGCTGAGTCCATTGCCCCCAGCCCTACTTGGAATCACAGGCCTCCTTTCTCTAGGGAAGCTCAGTCCCCACCTTGATCTGGGCTAATATGTGCAGAGTTGCTTTTCTCTTTTCCAGATAGCTAAAAAAATTCTGCTGATATAACAGTAGTTCCCTTGGATGCTTCCCTTTTAGAAACTTCCCACATTACTTTGGACAGTGTGTGTGTGTGTGTGTGTGTGTGTGTGTACCACTACTCCACACCCCTCCCCTCTCCTATCTGAGTTCTCCTATACTGAAAACATCCTTTCTCAAGGGCTAAGACTCAGAGCTAATGTGCATGTCACATGTCATGGCGGCTCTGCCCCAGGAGAGCTCAAATAGGGAGCCAGTACACACTAGGGCACCTGCGGGCCAGCAAACAAAAGTGTAGGTCAAAAAGAGACCCACTGTTAGGGCACCATATTCACACCTAGAGCCCAATCACACTGGGTTCAACTTAATCAACATTCGGTACTTCATCTGTCTGGCTCAAACACTGTGCAAGGCCCTGGGGACACCAGACTGAACAGGCACCCAGCCCTGTCCCCAGCACAGAGCCTCACACTGTGCCGGAGAGAGGAGCTGGCTGTCCAGGAGATGGATAGGGTAGGAGACAGCCTAGGAAATATCCACACTGGTTGTTAGGATGAAAAGAATTTCATCCAACAAGTGAGGCAGGAGAGGGTAACCAGACTGGGGGAAGAATGGCAGTAAAGTACAGAAACTGCAAAATAGAAAGCTCCAGCAACAGCATTATTTTTATTGCTCAGGCTGCGGTGCAGGGTAAGACCATATATGTGGAGAAGGACATTCTTTGGCTCATCTTTCAATGTACTACCTCAAGCCTGACCAAGCCATATGATTGTTTGATTCCGGAGGAAGTCTAACAAAATCATTGGTGTAAAGGAAATTATTACAGGATGCTTTACTGAGATATACCCGAAGGAATGATAACACGATGGCTAACTAAGTCAAGTCTCATTCCTGTGATAACTGAGTGGTATTACCCTTGCTAAAACAGTTGATATCCTCCCATTTGCCCTGCTGCCTCCTTTGTTCTTTCTCAATAAAAGGTTACTGAAAATGGTATTCAGGGTTGCAGTCCAGAAGGCTGCAAGCCCCCTGACCCCAGAATTATGCTCCTCTTGTTTTTCTTTTTTCTCTTGCTTTTCTTCTCACCCGTGGCACCTTCTTCTCAGGACCTGTCACCCCTGGACAGAAATGGAATATAGACCAACACATATAATGCACTGTCCATATTGGAATGCGTTTGAGGGCAAGGGGTCAGGGTTAATAATAATGGCAGGCTGATAAGTACCAACCAGGACTCCCAGGAAAATTGGACTTTGTGGCTCCCTGCAGAGAGGGTAGAAGGTCGTAGCTGGGACACCAGACTGGGACAGAAGGGAGATAAGGATTTGAAGGCTTTAGGTCCTGCCAAGAAGCCAGAATTTGATCCATAAGGCATTGAGCTGTCACTGAAGGCATTTATTGTGGTCATCCCAGCATTGGAGGAAGAGTGCCAGGGTATCCCCGTTAAAGAGAGATTCAAGGTGTGCTAGTCTGCAGTCTTTCAAGGGTATGACCCACATCCTTTTATTCATAATTAACACTGTACCCAGCATATACTCGAATGGGTGGAAAGTTTTCTGCCACTATAAAGGAATTTAATAAAAACTTAAGTGAATGACTCTCCCTGTCTGCTCTTTTTACAATGGCAACTTCTTTCCAACTCATGATCTCCAACATTCTCTTTTCTTCCAGAACTAATCACTCTCTGACCAACTATTCATTGTCTCCATGTCCTCACTCAAGAAAAAACAGCAGAGGGGAGAGACTTGGGCCTATTTTGTTCACTGCTGTTGCCATAGAGACCGGGACCAGGGAGCAGTAGACACAGGCTTTTTGAAGCAAAAGGAGGCAGGGACTTCTTGGAGTTTCTGACAGCTGCTAGATGTGAGAGGATGAGGATGGAAATGTGGTAGAAATAAAGACAGAAATCCTGAAACTAAACGGATCAGAGCGCAAACCTTCTTCTGCAGCCCACGTGTGTGGAGACTTTCATTTTCACAGTTCCTCCTGTGGTGCCCGTGACTGCAGCATTAGTGTCCAGGGCACCTTCTGCTGAGTGCTGGCCAAGGTCACCATCACGTCCTGCACAGCCTGCCTCTGCCAGTGCCCGTAACTCGGCTTGACGTAAGGAGCACATTTACCGCTTTAGCAAGGAGAAGGAAACATAAGTTTGTGAAGTTCATGTTCAAGAACTTTTTTTTTCAGTCCAAGAAGGATAGGCAGCTTTCCTCTGCAGCTACACAGACTTTCCCAGGGGCTCTCCTGCTTCTAGCCCTGCCTTGCCTTTCTCCTCTGGTCAGAACCAATGGGCCTTCTACCAGCAAGAGCTTCCTTCTCTCAAACTCTTTCTATGCCTCATGTCCACTCCCAAATAAATGGACAAGTGGGTCTTACTGTTCTCCCTCAGAAGTCATCCCACCAGCAGCAACTCCCCAAACCCCAGTGACTAGGTCATGAAGGCCCCTAATGGGCCCTCTCTCCATCGGGGCCAACTGTCAGCTCCAGGTCATCACTGTGACTTCTGGGAAAAATATGGACTATCCTTCATGTCAACAGAACCCCCAGTGACCTGGCTAGGCCTGCCTGGACGTGCCGGAGACTGTGCTGTGGCAACAGGCTGGCCTCTCAGTCACAACCACATTCCACACTGCGCTAGGACTGGGTGGGGCAGAGGAGTGGGCTGCGATGCTGGGGTGAGTCCAATGCACAGGTCCTGGTGTCTACACAGGGGAGCTCGTGGGCATGACTTAGAGACTGGTAACATCCAGGGACAGCATTTGGTAGATCTGACACAGGGGCTGCAGGGCTGAGGGTAGAAATGGGAGGCAGGCAGAATCTAACAATGAGCCACAGGCTCCCAGGTGAATGTAGGCCCCGGGGTGCAGCAGAAGAAGACAATCAGAGGCAACATGTGAGTATGGGTAAGGCCTGTGGGGGAAGGGATTGACCCGTTCAGCCAAGACCAGCACAGGAAATGAGCAACTCCCCTGGCCCTGAGCACAGCTCCTGGGAGTCCCTAACATGCTCCCTCCATTTTCTGGAGAGCAGGCAGTTCAGTGTCTACTTAGGACCTGTGCTATCTAAATATGTTCCCTAATATGGTGCTGGGTTTCCTAGATTCACTTCTACAGGTGGGGCTTGGAGCTCATTCATTCTCTCACAAGACCCACCGAGTCCACTGCCAGGCCCCGAGGTAGAGCAGCAACAAAACACAGTCCCTGCCCTCAGAAAGCTCCAGGTGAAACCTGACTTCCTGTGGACGGCAACAACACCCTGAGGTAGGGAGAATCTTGTCTGTCCCTGTCACCCAGGGGAGAGGATTGCAAGGATTAAGGTTAGAGAAGGAGGACCAGGAAGGTTGAGGAGCGGAGGCGTCTGACCCCACTGTCAACGGCCTCCTCCCCACCCTCAGGCAGCTACTTTCCCAAGTAGGAGGCACTGGGAATTAGCAAGATGGCAACATCAGGATATCTGACATCTTTTCTTACAAAACAAACAAAGGTGTACAATACCACCTACTTCCCTAGAAACACAACAGCTTGTTGTTCAGAGAACTGCCTGCCCCAGACATCGGTGGGAAAAGACATGTAACAGCAACACTTCAGAAATAAGCAGACGCCTAGGGCCTAGGGCCTGGCCTTTTACTCTAAAGCATCTACTCCTCAGTAACCGCAGCAGAGCCGTTCTGCTCCCGGAACACAAGTCTAACCTCTCCAGCTCTGTTTCCGACAGGGAGATTTCATTTTTTAATGTGTAGAATATTCAATTTTCTGTGAATCTAAGGAGCATGAAATTAGACTAATGTGCTTTACAGATGGGGCTACCGAGGCATAGAGTGATGCATAAGTGGTTATGGGGCAAATCGGGAAAGCGGCTGTTTGGTGGCCTGGTGCCCATGCCCTCGATGACGATCCCGGGTAGGCTCATCTGCAAGTTCCCTCCTTCCTCCCATGGGTGGATGGGAGTGAGAGGTAGAGAAATGGGCAGAGTCCACATAGCTGGGACTCTACACCCAGTGTCCGGACCTGCTCTGCTCGTCCCCATCCGGCAGGACCCTGACCCTTGAGGTCACAGAGACGGGTCTCCTGGCCTGTGGTGTAGAAGGCCAGGGTTAAGTTTCTCTTAAGAAGTGTTGGGATAAAGTAGAGAGATTACTGGAGATAATTGCTTGCAGATAAGAGTCAGGAGCCCCATTCCTGGAACTTCTTGCGTGGCATGAAAGCTCCTCACACCCATGGACTTCAGGGTTGCTGCCTGTATACTGCACAGGAGACCTCCTGAGGCACTCCGCGGCTCTGATCTCCAAGGCTCTTCCTGACCGTGGTCCCTGCTCTCTTGTCTTTGCCTCAGACAATTGTGTGTCTTTCCTGCTTTGCTCTTGGCTTGCCCTTCCTGTGAGGCCGTCTTCCCAGCCTTGCCTCCTCCTGACACTGACAGGTCTAAGATGAACAAGGGGAATCTGAAATGAAGACACAGACACTGGAGCAGAGAGTTCTCCCCAGTCCAGAGTAGGCCCCGGTCCTGCCCAAGAGGCAGGAAGCCAGCAAGCCAGAGAAGCCCGCCTTTTGGCCAGCTCTGCAGATCTGCACATTGACTCACAAAGCCTATGTATCATTTTTGTCAGGAAAGTCACAGACACAATCGAAAACCCTACTTCACTAGTAATGGGATGAAGCTCTTCAAACGCCACTGGCATTGTGAAGCCAGCGCCCAGTCCTCCTAGCCCACACCCCCAAATGGAAATATTCTCTTTCCCTCCTCTGTCATTTGCTACATTTCTGCTCAAGATATATTTTAGGAACAAATGAAGCTTCTTACTGAGCCAAATACCTCCCTCAAAGGTGTTTTCTCTGCCCTTTTGAGTCAAGAAGTTGGTTCTTTCTTCAACCTCTCTTGCTCAGAAATACATGTCTGTGGGGCAGGGAGGTCAGTCATTCACTCCTGCAGACGCGAGTAAAAGTTATGTCCTCAGGGACACTTGGATTTCTTTTTCTTCCCTCCTTCCTTCCTTCCTTCCTTCTTTCCTTCCTTCCTTCCTTCCTTCCTTTGTTCCTTCCTTCCTTCTTTCCTTCCTCTCTTTCTTTCTTTCTTTCTTTTCTGTATTTTTTTTATTATTTTAAAGAGAATAGTAAAAAAAAGAACAATAGCAAAATGCCAACATCACAGACATAAACAAAACAAAGCAAGAACATTAAAAATGATACAGGGTTTTGAAACAAAATGATAGGAATTAACAGTGGTTGTTGTATTGCATGTTGTTATCTTCAAACGAAGTTACTCAGATTACCAGATGTAGGAATGGAAGCTTGTTCAAACCATTAAAGAGAATAAAAAAATTATTATTAAAAAAAATTAGAGATGATACAGAGTTTCACTAGAGAAGATGGAAGGAATTCACCACTGGTTGTTCTATTGTATATTGTTGTCTTCAAATCAGTTGCTCAAATTACCAGACATAAGCATGCAAAATTGGTCAAAATATGAAAAAATTTAAGCATTAACTGTTTTTTTCAATAGTCCACCAGACATCAGTAGCACAGTTAACCCAAGTATCCTTCTATATATATACATATATGTATATTTTTTGTTTGCCTTTCTTCTTTCTTTTTCTTCTTTTCTTCTCATTCCAGTTGTTCCTTCCTTTGAGCAATTTCTTTCCTTTTCATATTATCTATTGTATGTTTTGGGTTTTATTTACCTTTCAAATTCTTACACTAGGGAGTCAATATGATGTTTACACATGTGGGTCCAATTTATTTCACTTATGAGTATGGTCTCTAGTTACATGTATTTACCTATAAAAGCCTCAAGTCTATCTTTTTTATAGCTGAGTAGTACTCCATTGTATATGTTATGGTTTTCCAAAGAAATCTAGTCAATGAAAAGATGTCATAACTGGGCACGGTCTTACATGCCTGTAATTCTAGCTACTTGGGAGGCTGAGGCAAGAGGACTACAAATTTGAGCCTAGCCTGGGTAACTTCATGAGACCTGGCCTCAAGATTTTAAAAAATAAATAAAATAAAATAAAATATAAACAGGACTGGAAGTGTAGTTCAGTAGTAGAACATACACCCAACATGCTTGAGGCCTGGGGTTCAATCCCCAGTGCTACCAAAACAAACAAAAAACATAGGACAGGGAAAGGAAGAGAGAAGATTATCCATGTATAAAATAGATTTATTATAAGGAATTGGCTCACATTATTATGCAAGCTGACAGATCCCAAGATCTTCAGGGTAAACTGTCAAGCTGGTGACTCTGGAGAGCCAGTGGCATAGGTCTAGGCTGAAGACTGGCAGGCTTCAGGCCCAAAAAGAGCAGCTGTTTCAGTTCAATGACAGGGAAAAGCACACTGTCCCAGTTCAAAGACTATCAGGCAACTCCTTCTCTCTCTCTCTCTCTCTCTCTCTCTCTCTCTATCTATCTCTCTTTCTGGTTTTGGTCTCTTTGGGCCTTTAACTGACCAGATGAGTCCAATTCATATTAGCAAGGGCTCACTCTATAGATTTAATTGTTAATCTCATCCACAAACACCCTCACTGAAACATCCTGCATAATGTTTCACCAGATGTCTGGGCAACTTATGATCTAGCCAAGTTTGCGTATAAAATCATCCATCACACCTTCCTAAAGAAATTTGGGCATATTGTAATCCAGGGGAGTAAAATGCTGTGAGTGTGTGGGACTTTCTAGGTGCTACCAAAATCACATTACATAGAAATTAGTAAGAAAAGCTCTTATTACCCTAGTGGTTGGACAAACCCATGCCCTGAGACATTTTGCTAATTGGAGCCTAATGACATGATTATCCTCATTTTACTATGTTTGAACTTTTAAAGAATAGCCTATTGCTTTGTAGGTGAGCTATAGACACAAGTTTTATTTGATATTAATCCAAGAATGAGCCTTCCTTGAGTTTTTCAAATGGCCATTTACAATTCCTTTCATCAGGTAAACCACACCAAATGATTACTCTTTCTCTGTGATACCAAGTCACCTCCCCCAATAAAGAAAAGAAAAAAAATGATCACTTCTGAGACTACTGAACCAAGCTGTGATTATGCTAAAGAAAATTATTATCTAAGATTCTTAGGAAATAAATAAAGGACATGTGCCTTCCTTTAGCTACCTTATAAAAGAGGGGAGAAAAGTTCACAATGTAAGGCTGATGATTTTCTCATGGTTACCGCTATAGTTTGGGTCTTCAGTGGCTTCAGAGTTCTCAGGCAGTATCACACAAGCATGAGAGTGGAAGTACCTATTCCACACATAGGACTCTAGTGGCAAGGGCGTCTGGGAAGTGCAGTGTTGACTGTTCAGTCTCTGACATGTACTCAGGAGTGATCAACTTACAAACCCAAGACAGCACACAGAGTCCCATGGTGCACATCTTTCACCTTTTTGAGTGTCAACTCCTTCCTCTATCAAGATGGAGATAAGACTTATAGAACTAAATGAAACCACATACTCCAAGTTTTTATAATAACAAGTTCTACAACTCTTAGGTTCTCTTTAAAATTCAAGAAGTAGAAATCCTGGTCAAGACTAATGTGGATCAATCAAATTAATTTTTTTAGATAAGTTTGTTTAATCATCATTTTGAGGCATAAATATTCAACTCAGTCAACACTAGCTGAGTTCTGAGAATGTGCAAGCTGTTGTGTGAAGCTCCACTGGCCCACACAGGTGGGTGAATCCCATCTCAGCTCTGTCTTGCAGCTGCTCACACATTTAGGAGGAGGTTGGGGATCCAAAAAGTCTTCAAAAAATAATAGTTGAGATGAATCTTAACTGAGTAACTTTATGATTTATCACCCAAGTCAGGCCTGTCCGATACCGAAAGGGGATGCTATTAATCACTCCACTGGGGTAATAGGTGTAAGCTAGAAATGTCATGAGCAAACAAAAATACATAGTCACTCTACCCCTAAAAGTTAAAGGGTATCAAACCTGTCTTTCTGCAGTAATTCCATTCCCCTCACTTAAATCAAAATTGTTCATTTCAGGGTCATGTACTGTCTAGGTCTTAGACTAACAAGTCACAGGGAGTCACATTATATTAAATTTGGTTGGAAGTGACAGAACCATAGCTTGCACTAGCTTAGAAAACAATGTGCCAAGATTTATACATATTCCCCTAAAGCCTCGTGTGATCATAGGCAGGAACACTGGAAAGTGGTTGGATTATAGGGCATTATAGTTGGCTTACTTTGGGGCCATGGGGCCTGATCAGAAGAAGTGGATCCCTGTGGACATGACCTAACGGGTTATATCA